TGTGCTCCAGCCCTGTGGGGGGTGGAGGGAGGGGCTGGAATGCCAGTGCAGGCTCTCCAGTGCTGGGGGGCCTGAGCCGCAGGGGCCGGATCCAGGCAAACCGGGGGCCACATCCGGCCCCCGGGCCTTAGGTTCCCTACCCCTGCCTTAGACAGGTTGGTACGCTAGTGTGAGTGCGAATACAGGTGGCGCCATGATGCGGTTTGTTATGGAGAGGCCGACGGCTCTGCTCCTGCGTTGGACCCTCGCCGACGGCTCCTGTCATAAGAACATAAGAACAGTCGTACTGGGTCAGACCAAAGGTCCATCTAGCCCAGTATCCTGTCTGCCGACAGTGGCCAGCACCAGGTGCCCCAGAGAGGGTGGACCGAAGACAATGATCAAGCGATTAGTCTCCTGCCATCCCTCTCCAGCCTCTGACAAACAGAGGCCAAGGACACCATTTTATCCCCTGGCTAATAGCCTTTTAAGGACCTAACCTCCATGAAATTATCTAGCTTCTCTTTAAACTCTATTATAGTCCTAGCCTTCACAGCCTCCTCTGGCGAGGAGTTCCACAGGTTGACTATGCGCTGTGTGAAGAAGAACTTTCTTTAATTAGTTTTAAACCTGCTCCCCATTAATTTCATTTGGTGTCCTCTAGTTCTTCTATTTAGGGAACTAATAAATAACTTTTCTTTATTGGCCCTCTCCACACCCTCACCACCACCACTGTCATTTTGCTTTCCCATCGCGTTGTGTTAGGCAGCACAACCCCCTCCTCTTCTGTCTGCCAGGGTTACAGTTTCTCTCCCTCCTCACGGGCTACGCGTGTGTGGAAAGGTTCGCAAGCGAACGCCGTGAGCCTACGGCACTATCGTTCAGCACGGGGTGTGTGCTCTTTGATAGGGCAGGACTTTTCATGGGAGGGATTCCAACCCCCCCCCCCCCAAAGAGGCGTTTGCAGATTTTATTAATTAAATCCAATACGCTGCTGTCCGTACATAATTCTCATCCCTAGCGCGTCTCTGGCACTTTTCATCAATAGGGCTCAGAGCACTTTACACAAGAAGGCATTCTCATTATCCCCGTTGTACAGATGGGGAAACTGAGGCAGCATATATCGTTCCAGCAAAAGGAATATGGGACTGGGAAGGACATCCTTGGTCAGCAAATAAAGTCCCTTAGTATTACTACACCCATACGCGGCAAACGGCTATTCAGTAATGTAAAAGGCAAGAAAAGAAAGCCCAACTGGGATTTTCATACCAACTCTGGGATTTGGGTGCTGGATTAAAAATCTGACCAGGTGTTTGGCTCTTTTGAAAATAATCACCTGAATTAGGGATGTGAAATTTAGATGAATTGGCTCATCGAATACTCGATGCAATTTGCGTTGACTATTCAATTAGTCGATAAGGGCGGCTCTGTTCACATCCCTAACCTGAATTGTCCATCATGGCTGCGTATAATTCTCCGGCAGCGTCTACTCACCTTTAAATGGTGTGACTATAGTTTACACCCCTCTTAAGCGCTGGCCGAGCAAAGTGAAGTGGATTTAGTGTAAATGAGACTCAGCCCCAATGTGTATTAAACATTAAACACGTTGCTTGTCATTTTTAACTTCAGAGCGCAATCGAATCCTTATTTGGAGCCTCCATGACAGGCGTTGTGTACTCGCTGTTTGCCGGACAGCCCCTCACGATCTTAGGAAGTACCGGACCGGTGCTGGTGTTTGAAAAGATTTTGTTCAAGTTCTGCAGGTCAGACCGTGCTCTCCTTAGACTGTAAAGAATCCATCCAGATAGCCAGGGGGCAGAGTAAATGGGTAACAGGGAAAACATGTGTTGTTTTTTTAAAAAAAGAACAAATGAGAAAGGCAGAGTTGGTTTGTTTGATGCAAATAAAACACTGCTGGCTTCATGGGTGATGGTGCAAGACTGGTATACAGTAATTTGTCAGCATATGTCCACACAGCAGCGTTACTTCGGAATCACTGACGTTATTCCAAATAACAAAGAGCGCGTCTACACCGCAAGCCGTTATTTCGAAGTAATGTCGAGCTGGAGGATTTTTTACTCCGACTCCTGGCAACCCTCCTTTCACGAGGAGTAAGGGAAGTCGGAGGGAGAGTGCTCTTTCTTCGACTTCTTGCGGCGCAGACAGCACCAAAAGTTGAAATAAGCTATTTTGACTTAAGCTACGCAATTGACATAGCTGAAGTGGCGTCGCTTATTCCAACTTTAGTCCTGCTGTGTAGACATACCCTCGTTGAGTTAATAAAAACTAGAATGGTGAACAGTGTACTGACTTTCATGGGCCATGGATGCGCTGCTCAGGTGCTTAAAGTTACACACGTTCTCAGTTCTTAGCCCACATCTGCAAATGCTGGTTTGTCTCATCCACTGTCTCATGTCCTGTTTTTTAGGACTGGACCCTAGAAACACTTATGCACGTGCTTAACTTTAAGCATATACAGTAATTCCTCATTTAACATGTGCCTGCTTAAAACGTTTTCGCGATAGCACGATTTTTTTTGAGGGAACGTTTTTTGAATTACACGACCGTCCCCGGAATAACACGATTTCCCCAGCTGGCCTGTTGCTGGTGGCCATGCGGGGCTTCCCCCGCCTCCCTGCAAAGCGGCGGAGGGTTTGCTGCTCGCCGTACCGTTCCTTGCTGACCCCCCCTCACTGGATGCAGTGCGGGTCCCGGCAGACCCGTCACGGAGCATACTCCCAACCCAATTCCCCTCCTCTCTCCTCCCCTTCCCTTCCCCAGAACCAAACACCTCCCCTCCCTACTGTAACCCAGTCCCCTTTCTCCCCCAACTTTATGTCCCGGTCCCAACAGACCGCTTGAAACGTAACCCCTACCTTTTCCATTATTTTCAATGGGAAAATTGACCCCCCCGTAACACGTTTTCACTTAACATGATCATTTTCTGAAACATCTCGATAGTGTGAAATGAGGAATCACTGTAACTAGTAGAGCTGATGGAAACATGAGTGTGGGGAGGGTTCCCTGGAAAGAATCCCGATTTTTTTTGGGTGGGGAGGTCGAAATGTGAATACTGAAAATTTTTGTCCGAACAGTGAAATATTTGACTTTTGGCTGCATTCTTAGGCTTTCAGGCTTTTTAAAAAAATGAACATTCAAAATTTTCTGTGGGAAGCTGACACTTTCATTAAAAAAACCCCCGAACATCCAGTTTTCTAGCGAAAAGTCGTTTTGCGGGAAACTTTCCTGCCGGCCATACGAATGAATCCCATTCAGATTAAGGATTCTACTACCATTCTTAATGTGATGCAAGCGCGTGTTTGAAAACGGTACGTGCTTCGGGGCAAAGATGGAAATTTTAATATCGACGTGTCCAGGGCCTGGCTGAACTGGGCCGCTGCTAGTTGCTACGAGAACAGGAAAGATTAATAATCATAGGAAGTGAGGTCTTCTCAGCTCGGCCTGCATCCTTGGCAGGTCGCTGTCATTGGCTGGTGGAGCAGTGATGCATTTAATTGGTCCTCAGAAGAGTTTTGATGCATGAATAAAATCCTTCCCAATTTCCTGTGCCAGTCAAGGACCACTGAGCGCCTGCTTGCTCATTCGGACCTTTGGTGCGTGTCCCTCGCTCCTTTTTACAGAGACTACGCCCTCTCCTACCTTTCCCTGAGAACCAGTATTGGATTGTGGACGGCTTTCATGTGCATCGTCCTTGTGGCAACGGACTCCAGCTCCCTGGTGCGCTACATCACTCGCTTCACGGAAGAAGCCTTCGCCTCTTTGATCTGCATTATTTTCATCTACGAAGCCCTGGAGAAACTAATAGCACTAGGAGAGACCTACCCCTTCCACATGCACAGCCAACTCGACCAGCTGACCTTCTACTAGTGAGTTCGCCTGTTCTCTGTTCTAAAGCTGTTCTCGTCAACGGGGCGGGGAAGGGGCAGAATTGCCACGCCCCTGGACAAAGTCAGATGGGGGGCAGCGCCATGTTCCTGGAAGGGGAGGGGCAACCTGGGTCCGCCCTCTGCTCCGGGTTCCAGCCCAGGGACCCTACAGGCAGCGGCAACAGGTAGTGCTTCCTCCATCACCAGACCTGCTTTTCCCTCAGCCACTTCCCCAACCAGCTCTTCCAGCAGCTTTCTCCTGGTACCAGACCGCGTCCTTCTGCTCTTCCCCTGTACCTCCTCTCTCCCGGTCCTTGGCCTCCTGCCCTCCCCGAAGGGAAGCCTTTTAAACCAGGTCCTGAATGGGCCGCAGGGGCTTTGACTGGCCTGTCTCTCTCTTGCTTCTGGCAGGCTCTTAATTGGCTCGAGGGTCCACCTGATTGCTCTGCAGCCTTCCCTTCTCAGGGAAGAGAAAATGGCTTCTCCAGTGGCCAGTCTGCTGTGAGCCCACAGGTCTGGCTCTGTCACAGCTCGTAAAACAGTCTTGGCTTTGCTTTTGATTGCGAAGAATACAGCCTAGCCTCTTCCCTCCCTCCCCCCGCCCCGTTAATAGCTGGGTAGATTTATTATGCAGTGAGGTTCTGTGGTCGCTGAGGAGTCCCGCTCTTCTGATATTGGGCTTAAATTGCAGCAAAGGAGGTTGGACATTAGGAAAAGCTTTCTACCTGAAACACTGGAATAAATTGCTCAGGGGGGTTGTGGAATCTCCATCACTGGAGATATTCAAGAGCAGGTTGGACAGACATCGATCAGGGATGGTCTAGTTGGTGCTTGGTCCTGCCGCGAGGGCAGGGGACTGGACTCGATGACCTCTCGAGGTCCCTTCCCGTTCCAACGTGCTATGATTCTATGAGACTTTAACTCTCAAATGGTTCCTCTGCTCCTAGCTGTAAGTGTGCCGTGCCCAACAACCCCAGCAATCAAACCCTGCAGTACTGGAGCGACAGGAAGATTGTCCCTTCTGCAATTGAGTGGGCGAACCTCACCGTCAGGGTAAGTGCCCCGGCCTCTGTGCGCGTCTCTGTGGCGTGTTACAGATCCGAAGGGCGTCGCGGTTCAAAGAACCATCTCTCCCACTAATGTTAGTTCTGCTTTTTCGCTGTGCTAATTTAGGGTACGTCTAGACGACAGGCTTTTGTCGACAGAAGTTTTGTCGACAGATACTGTCGACAAAGCTTCTGTCAACAAAGAGCGTCTAGACTACATTCAGTTCTGTCGACAAAGCAAGCTGCTTTGTCGTCAAAACCCTGTAGTCTAGACACAACCCTAGATGCAATAACACCTTCTGTCGACAGAACTCTGTCGACAAAAGGCGTTATGCCTCGTAAAATGAGGTTTACCAGCGTCGACAAAACTGCTGAGTTCTGTCGATGTTATGTCGACAGAACTCAGCGGTAGTGAAGACGCAGGTGTAGTTTTGTCGACAAAACTCTGTAGTCTAGACACACCCTTAGTGAGGCCGGGTCTATCCTCCCGGAGAAAGTCAACTTAAGAGATGCAACTCCAGCTTGCTGTTATTTTCTATTTTTCTTTTCTATTCATTTTCTATTGGAAAGTTGCATTTTGAGGCAATTTAAATTTTCTGAAAATTTCCCATTGTGACATTTTTGGAACCAATGGTTTTGGGTTTTTCTGTGTGCCGTGCTTGGTTTGTTGGTTGCACTTTTCATTTGGAAACCTACTTTATTTCAGAGGCTTTCAAACTTTGGGTCGCGGCTTGTATGGTCCCTACACACCAGATGTCCCCTTTTTGTCCTGACTTCTCCTCTCTGCCACCTTCATCACCTCCCATTCCTGACCAGTGGGAGCTGCAGGAAATGAGGGCCGTGTTAGTCTGTAGCTTTAAAAATAACAAGGGGTCCTGTGCAGGGCTGGCCCGAGCCATTTGTGTGCCCCGAGTCCCGGGAGCACGGTGCCGCCCCTGGGAGTGTGGCACAGGCGCCTCTGGGTGTGTGGCGCCTCTGGACCCCGGGCACCCGGAGCATGCGGGGCACCAGCACATGCCTGGCCCTGCCCCCGCCCAGTCCGGCAGCCCTGCACGGCACCTCCTACAATGGGGCGCCCTGGGCGGTAGCCTGGTCAGCCCGTAGCTTGGGACGGCTCTGGTCCTGTGGCACCTTAGAGACTAAACATAATATACAGACTCATGAGCTGTCATGGGTAAAACCCACTTCATTAGATCTTTCACTCCGATTCATCTGAGGAAGTGGGTTTTGCCCATGAAAGCTCATGGTTGTATATATTTTGGTGAGTCTCTAAGGGTACGTCTAAACTACATGCCTCTGTCGGCAGAGGCATGTAGATTTGTTTGTTCAGCAAAGGCAAAGGAAGCCGCGATTTAAATGATCGCGGCTTCATTTACATTTACATGGCTGCCTCGCTGAGCTGACAAACAACTGATCAGCTGTTTGTCGGCTCGCGCGCTAGTCTGGACGTTCCCCCTGTCGACATCAAAGCCCTTTGTCGGCAGCCCCGGCAAACCTCATTCCACGAGGAATAACGGGGCTGCCGACAAAGGGCTTTGATGTCGACAGGGGGAACGTACAGACTAGCGTGCGAGCCGACAAACAGCTGATCAGCTGTTTGTCGGCTCAGCGCGGCAGCCATGTAAATGTAAATGAAGCCGCAATCATTTAAATCACGGCTTCATTTGCCTTTGCTGATCTGTCTAATCTACATGCCTCTGCCGACAGAGGCATGTAGTCTAGACACAGCCTAAGGGTATGTCTACACAGCAAAGTTATTTCGAAATAACAGCAGTTATTTCGAAATAACTTTCCTAGCATCTACACAGCCATTCCGTTATTTTGAAATTAATTTGAAATAGCGGAGGGCTTATTTCGAAATTGGTAAACCTCATTCCACAAGGAATAGCGCCAATTTCGAAATTGCTATTTCGAAATAAGTGCTGTGTAGATGCTTATTTCGAAATAGGGGGCCTCCAGCCCTTCCCAGGATGCCCAGCTGTCCGCCCTGGCCTCAAGGTAACTTCTGATACTCTGCCGGAACTTGTTCCCACCAGTCTTAAATGCGATTCAATGTCCATTCAGGGTGGGCGTGCTATTTCGAAATAGAAAAACGCTATTTTGAAATGCATTTTGTGTGTAGACGCATTATTTCAAAATAAGCTATTAACTATTTCGAAATTAGATATTTCGAAATAACGCTGTCGTGTAGACACACCCTAAGGCAGGGCTACTCAACATGTTTGTTTGTGCCCCATGGTGCAGTTTGGGTTTATGTGGGGCTTAACACAAACAAAACAAAACAACACAAACAAAAAAGTTGTCAATATAATGGCCATCTATTGATATGAGTTTTAGTAGTTAAATTCTTGGACTGTCATTGCTTATTAAAAGTGCTGTCATATAGGTAGAAATCGGGTAAATATTGCATTTCATTAATATCAACAGAACTGACTTAAATGGGGCCTGCGTGTTGTGTAGTCTTGCCTTAATCTTTGTATTGATACCTGTCAGTGTGAAAGAAGCAATTTGCATATATTTGCATATATATTTGCATGTATATTTGCATTGTGGTCCCCGGGGCTTCCAAAGTTGAGTAGCCCTGCTCTAAGGTTTCACAAAACCACTTGTTAATCTTGAAAACGTCACCCGGAGTGATGACTCTCAGCTGTTAAGTCTTTGCAGGGTGGAGACTTTAAGTAACTAATAGTTTGTTCCTATCAAGTTCAGAGTTAGGTGAGCAGAGGTCTTACTAAGGGTACGTCTATGCTGCACAGCTGTTTTGGCATATCTCCGGTACCCCGAAATAGCTACCCCGTGTCTGCACAAGCCATCCGTTATTTCGAAATATTTTTCAAAATAACAGGCGCGCTCTTTCACCATCTCGGTAAACCTCAAGGGATAAGGGATGGCTCAAAGGAGCGCGTTATTTCGAAATTTGGTGCTCTGTGTAGAGGCACCAAATAAGCTATTTTGAAATGCAAATGGCGTATCTAATTTCCAGTTTCGGGTGCTGTGTGGACGCACCTAAGTGATGTAGCCATCCCTTTGGGGCTTAAAATCTCTGAATGGAAAAGCGTTAGCGACCAAAACTTGTAACAAGAGGGTGTTAATATCCAGGAATCATTACAGCCCTTCTGAGCATTCCTACAGGGTGCTACCTATTGCATAATAAAGCCGTATACCCTTAGCCAACGGCACCCTGTAGTCAGTGGCCTATGTAAGAATAGCAGGATTTATCGCTGAATGCTTTATCTCTTTCGACTATGCTTTTAAATAATCCCTTTATAAAGATGTCACATCTTTGGCCCATTGGTGGTGCCCCAAGGGCATCATACGTGTTTATGGTGGTGTCTTGGTTACCTGTTCCTCCAGGAATGTTGGGAAATGCATGGAGAATTTACCGGACCCGCCTGTGGGCATAACGGCCCCTACACACCAGATGTCCTCTTCTGGTCCTGTATTCTCTTCTTCACCACCTTCATCCTGTCCGGCACGCTGAAGATGTTTAAAACCAGCCGCTATTTCCCGACAAGAGTAGGTAGAAAAGAGTGGCGAACTGCCAACCCTTCTCTGTCCTGAAAGACCAGCATTTCATGGCCTCTCTCCTTAGTGCACATGGCTGTGGGGTCTAACCAGTTCGGACACAGCAGTCGCTGCAGCGAACTAGCCACGTTGTTCTGAAAATTTAAATAATAGGGCAGCTACTGTTGTAGCCAACGAGCCACACTCAACCGGTCCAATAGCTACATGTGGCTAGTGGCTAGGGTGTTGGACACCAGGAGCAGACTGGCCCAGCGGGATACCGGGAATTTCCCGGTGGGCCGTCGTCCGATGGGCCGTTATAGCCACATGCCGTTGCCCTTCACTCCGAGCGGCTCCGCGTCCGTGCTGTATGCGGCATGCAGAGCCCGACCCGCCGCCTGCGCCGTGTGCCGGACATGACGCAGGGGGCAGGGCTTGAGGGGCACGCAGGGGTGACGTCATGGGGAGGGTCATTCTCAACTCATTTCCTGGGCCTATTTTGATTGCCAGTACGCTCTATATGGCTATACATACCAAGGCTGTGAGGAAATTAGGATTGGTCATACATTTTGCTGTGGTTCTCTCATGTCCCCATCCTCCACTGTCATTTGGGTTTCTCAGGTAGAGTACATCGCCCATGATGCATCATGGCCAGGGACTCCCATGATACACTGCCACCCCCCTAAGAGGGAAGATCAGAGTGTATCATGGGAGATGTAGTTTGGGTTGAGAGCCCAGACCATGGAGGACAATGAGAGCTTGGGCATAGAACTACATCCCCCATGAAGCATCATAGCAGATTTTTCCAAATTGAAATAATAGGGGTTTGGCCTGAACTATCCTGTTTGACCCACAAAATGGTGCCCGAGAGAGGAACCCCCCCCACATTTTCCAGTTGTATTATGGAGGGGGAAGAATTCCAGTGGGAAACCCATTTGCCTTTGTCCAAACAAATGCCTCTCTAATTTCTCATCCCAGGTCCCTGCCATGACCAGCGACTTTGCTGTTTTCTTTACCATCGTCACGATGGTGGTTTTGGACTTCTTAATTGGCGTCCCGTCGCCAAAGCTGCAAGTCCCCAGTGTCTTCAAGGTAATCAAAGGGGGTCACGTGGGTTTGGTTTCACGGAACAGCTTGCACGTGTGATGGCCTTGGACCTTGTGAAAGGCAGTGTGGTCTAGCTCAAGGGGAGGGTGGGGGGGGGGCGGGACCAGGGCCGCACTCTTCCATGATATTAATGGAGGAGGTGTGAGGTCTGGGATGGGAGCTCGGGGTGGAGGATTGGGGTAAAAGAGGGAGTGTGGGGTCTGGGAGGGTGTTTGGGTGAAGGAGGGGGTTGTGACCTGCGGCAGGGATGCAGGAAGGGGTTCAGGGGTTTCGGTTGTGACCTAGGGCAGGAGATTGGGGTGCAGGCTCTGGGAGTGGGCATGGGTGCAAGAGCGGGGATGCAGAGAGCTTGGGTGGTGAACCTGGGGCAAGGATGCAGGACGGGAGAGGGGAGGGGCACAGAGAGTTGGGGGAGGAGGGGTTGGGGTACCAGATATAGGCTTTGGCCAGGAGGCGTTACATTAAGTAGCTCCCAGCCAGGGGCTTTGGGGGGGGGGGGGGGGGGGGGAGCCCTCCACATGCTGCCTGCACCATGAGCATAGCCCAGGCAGCTCCCATTGGCCAGGTAGTGGCCAATAGGAGCTGCGAGACTGTGCTGATGGGAGGGGCAGAGTACGAAGATCTGGCCCACCCCCCGGTCTAATGGATGGCAGACTAGAAGTCAAGGACTGCAGGATTCTCTTCCTATTTCTGCACGAGGAGTAAGGGTTAGTGATTGAGGCAGGAGAAACTGAGACACGCTGCTGGAATCCATTCCCGGCTGTGGGATCTATTGGTTAGAACAGGGACACCTGGGGACCCCGGAGATGTGAGTTCTGTGCTGATTTTTTCCCTGACCCTCCTGAGTGATCTTGAAACTTCAACTCCAGGGTGGAATTTCAGAAGCCCCCAACTGACTGGGGGGGGGGGGGGGATGTTTTGGAACAATGGGACTTATTCAAATGAGGGTCATCAAGCAAAATGGGAGAAGGAGGATGTGAAAAAACAACCAAAAAAAATTCATGTAATGGCGCGACCAGAGCTCTTATAATAGGGCAAACAACAGAGAGAAAAGACAGCCTGGTAAAATAGATGGGAACTTGGTGTTTGAAGGACACCAGCTCAATTCTCTGCTCTACTGCAGTACACAGTCAACCTGTGGAACTCCTTGCTAGGGGATGTTGTGAAGACCAGGACTTAAAACGGGTTCAAAAAAGAGCTAGTGAATAAGGAAAATGTATTTACTTGTTCCCATAACATAAGAACTAGGGGTCACCAAGTGAAATGAATAAGTAACAGGTTTAAAACATACAAAAGGAAGTTTTTCTTCATGCAGTGCACTGTCAACCTGTGGAACTCCTTGCCAGAGGATGTTGTGAGGACCAGGATTTTAACAGGGTTCAAAAAAGAACAAGATACATTCATGGAGGTTAGGTCTAGCAATGCCTATTAGCCAGGATGAGCAGGGATGGTGTCGCTGGCCTCTGTTTGTCAGAAGCTGAAGTGGATTACAGGGGAGGGATCATTTTGGTGATTCCTTGTTCTGTTCACTCCCTCTGGGGCACCTGGCATTGGCCACTGTCAGAAGACAGGACATTGGGCTAGATGGACTTTTGGTCTGTCCCAGTCTGGCCGTTCTGATGTTCTTACCACAGACTTTGTGTGGAACCTTAAGCAAGGTTGAAATGTTCAGAAATACCAAATTGATGTCGAAGCCTAAGTCCTGCTTTTCAAAGTGACTTAGGCACTTACTCCTAGAGCCTCAAAGATACGCAGGCACTGAACTTCTATCGGAATCCGTGAGCGTAAGGACGATCTTTGAGGACCTGGGCCTGAGGAGCCCAAATCGATGGGACTTCGGTTCCCAAGTGCAGAAATTAGTTTTGAAAATGTTCTCTCGAGTCCCACGGTCGAATGAAGACAGTAGCACTGTGCTATCTTGCAGGTGGGGGTTGAAGGAGAGCATGGATCGAACCATGACTGAGGATGGTGCATTTGCCCCAACTAATGGCATTGATGCTGCTGTGTGTGTATGTTTTCCCACAGCCCACAAGAGATGACCGGGGGTGGATTATTAGCCCGATAGGACCCAACCCCTGGTGGACGGTGTTAGCCGCCATCATCCCGGCTCTACTCTGCACCATCTTGGTATTCATGGACCAGCAAATCACAGCGGTGATCATAAACCGAAAGGAGCACAAACTCAAGGTAACGGCGTTTTAGGAGCTCAGTGCGGGAGCCGGGTGAGGCTGTAACTTAAAAAAACAACCAGGAGTCCGGTGGCACCCGAGCGACGACCCACACTGGACAGACTTATTTCTTGTATGAATATTGGATTGTATTTTCCTGCAGAAAGGATGTGGCTACCACCTGGACCTTCTGATGGTAGCGATAATGCTGGGTGTGTGCTCTGTAATGGGGCTGCCCTGGTTCGTGGCTGCAACTGTTCTATCCATCACCCACGTGAACAGCCTTAGACTAGAGTCCGGCTGCTCAGCTCCGGGAGAACAGCCGAAATTTCTGGGGATACGGGAGCAGAGAGTCACTGGCCTCATGATCTTTGTGCTTATGGGCTGCTCTGTCTTCATGACCGCCGTGTTAAAGGTAAGAGAGCACAAAGCCCCGATTCATATTCTGTTTGTGAAACTGCCACCGGGCAGGTTTGAACCTGGAACCTCAGCATAGGCGCCTCTACAACTTGCGCTATAAAGCCAGCTGGCTCTCAGCTCAGGCAATAAATTAAATACATGGAGATTGCCTATCTCCTAGAGCTGGAAGGGACCTTGAAAGTCCAGTCCCCTGCCTTCACAGCTGGACCAAGTTCCATCCCTGATGAATTTTTGCCCCAAACAGCCTCTGCAAGGATTAAACTCACAACCTTGGGTTTAGTAGGCCACTGCTCAAACCACTCAGCTATCCCCATAGAGCTCCCTTGTTCTTATCGCTCACTGTAAGTGGTCTAAGTGCCCCTCCCTGGGACAGTGACCCATACTAGGTGTATGGGTTACAATTGCACTGCGGAACTCACTGCCACATGATGGTTCTGAGACCAAGAACTTAGTAACATTCAAAGAGGAATTGAACATTTATAGGGATAACAATTATTATCCAGAGCTGTAATAGATAATGCAAGAAAAACATATAGAGAATCTTATGCTGCCATCTTTGAGCCAATCTAACTATTAATTAAGACAAGAGCTTCATGGGAGATTATCCCACATTTGCCTATTTCTGGGTTCTTGCATTTCCTCTAGTGCATCTGAGACTGACTCCATGGACCTCAGGTCTCATTCAGTCTGGCAACTCCCATGTTCCTACAAAAAACATTAGGGTATGTCTAGACTACAGGCTTTTGTCGATAGAGGCTTTGTCGACAGATACTGTCGTCAAAGCTTCTGTCGACAAAGAGCGTCTAGACGACATCCAGTTCTGTCGACAAAGCAAGCCACTTTGTCGACATGAGAGTAGACGCAAAGGACAGAGTAGACGCAATAACGCCTTCTGTCCACAGAACTCTGTCGACAAAAGGCGTTATTCCTCGTAGAATGAGGTTTATCACCGTCAACAAAACTACCGAGTTCTGTCAATGTTATATCTGGGTAGTGTAGACCCAGGTATAGTTTTGTCGACAAAAGTCCACTTTTGTCGACAGAACCCTGTAGTCTAGACACATCCTAGAAGACTTTCCCAGCATTGCCCAGGTCCTTCGGGAGAGGGGTCTGGGGATGTGGAGTGTGGAGGGGTCTTCTCGGCAGAGCTTTCTCTTCCCCTGGCCAGTAGGGTTGCCAGGTGTCTGGTTTTGAACCCGACAGTCCAGTATTTGAGCTTTCTGTTCGGGAAACAAATTGAGAAAATAGAAATGAGACAATAGGAATGTCGGGGATTTTCTAAATAAGACGGAATGTAGATTGGGATGTCATGTCAAGTGTGTCCGGTATTTTCGTGGAAACCATCTGGCAGCTCTACTGGATTTTCTCTCTCCCAACCCCCCAGCTGGCACAGGGACCTCCTGTCTCCCCACAACCCTTCCCCCGGCTGCCAGGTGCCTTCTTTCTCCCCCTAACCCAGCCCAGCTGTGATGCAGCCAGGGCCTGGGGTGGGGGAAGGGTTTAGGGCAGCGGGGGCTACTTACGTGGCGTGCTGGCAGGCAAGATGGTGGAACCCCGGAGTTAGGAGAGGAGGAGGCTGCCTGGCCAATGTGGTGGCCCTGGCTCTCACCGCTTAGGAGGAGCTCTTGAACAAACCGACTCTCAGGCAGACAGACAGACAGACAGACAGACAGACAGACAGACGCATGTTTCTAAAAGATATCAAAAGATTACAAGGGGCATTCCCACAAATGGCAGCTCACCCTACCCACTTCTTCAGAACTGCCTTCCGACTTCCTTATTCACTTCCTCCACACCGGTCAGGACTTTATAGACCTCTCTCCTCTCCCCCACTACGTCGCCTCTTTTCTAAGTTGAAAAGTCCCCGTCTTTTTTATCTTTCTTCATAGGGCAGCCGTTCCCAACCCCTCGTCCTTTCTGCTGCCCTTTTCAGAACCTTTCCCAAAGCCAAGGTAGCTTTTTGGAGATGAGGCGGTCACATCTGAACGCAAGATTCAAGAGGTGGGCGTCCCATGGATTCATACCAAGGCGATATGATATTCTCTGTCTCATTCTCTCTCCCTTTTTGAAGGATTCCCCACAAGCTGTTGGCGTGTTTGCCGGCCGCTGTCCACGGGGAGGATGTTTTCAGAGAACTCTCCACCGTGACTCCAAGATCTCTCTCTGAAGTGGGAACAGCTAATTTAATCCCCATGGCTACGTCTACACTGACATGAACTTCCGAAAATGCTTTTAACGGAAAAGTTTTCCGTTAAAAGCATTTTCGGAAAAGCGCGTCTAGATTGGCAGGATGCTTTTCCACAAAAGCACTTTTTGCCGAAAAGCGTGGCCAATATAGACACGGTTTTCCACAAAAAAGCCCCGATTGCCATTTTCGCAATCGGGGCTTTTTTGCGGAAAACAGTACTATGCTGTCTACACTGGCCCTTTTGGGCAAAAGTCTTTCGGAAAAAGACTTTTGCCCGAACGGGAGCAGCATAGTATTTCCGGAAAAGCACTGATGATTTTACATGAGATCGTCAGTGCTTTTCCGGAAATTCAAGTGGCCAGTGTAGACAGCTGGCAAGTTTTTCCGGAAAAGCGGCTGATTTTCCGGAAAAACTTGCCAGTCTAGGCACAGTCCATCAGTTTGAGTATGGTTTCCAATGTGCATTCCTTTGCGTATGTCCACATTACAATTCACCTGCCTTTTTGTTGCCTAGTCCCCGAGCTGTTTCTGAGGTAACTTCTCCCACCCTCCCATCACCCCCAAAATCGTTCTGAGACAAAGCTGGAGCATGGAAAACGTAGCTTATCTAAAGGGCTGATATTTACTGTTCAAGGGTTTCTCTCTCTTGCAGTTTATCCCAATGCCGGTGCTGTATGGCGTGTTCCTTTACATGGGCGTTTCGTCTCTCGGAGGAATTCAGGTATGCGATTTTGTAGTGCCTAGCGGTCTGCTAGATAGCGCGGAAATGGCGGGACTCCTGAATTAGGGCTCACAAGACCAGGGGTGGGTAATAATTGTGCATTGGGGGAGCACTCCAAGATTTTGGTAATGGGTCAAAGGCCGTGTTTTCCAATGGAGGGGGTGCGGGGTCTGGGTTGGGTGCAGAAGGGAGCTCGGGGTAGGGGACTAGGGTGCAAGGGCGGGTGGGGTCTGAGAGGGAGTTTGGGTGCAGGGGATGGGGTGTAGGGGCCAGGAGCGGGTGTGGGTGCAGGAGAGGATTCTGGCCTGGGGGAGAGGTTTAGGAGGGGGGTGCAGGGTCTGGGAGGGAGTTCTGGCATAGGATGGAGGGAGGGGAGTGCAGAGGGTTTGGGTAGTGACCTGGGGCAGCGAGCTGTGGTGCAGGAAGGGGTACCAAGTGCAGCCTGTGGCCAGGAGGCATTTACCTAGGCAGCTCCCAGCCAGCAGCCCAGCAGCACCCTCAAGCAGCTCCCAGCCTGGCCAGCAGGAGCTGAGAGATTGTGCTGGGGACAGGAGTAGTGTGTGAAGCCCCCCCCCCCTTGCCTGGCGTCCCATGGAGCAGCCAGCAGCTTTAAGGGTGCTCCGTGCCTGAGGGCCCCAGCAGGGCAGGCTGTGGGCCACATTGGAAAGCTTGGCAGCCTGGATGTAGCCTGTGGGCTGTTTCTAGTCCACCCCTGCACAAGACCTAGCTCCTATTCCTGGCTATGGCCTTCTGGGCAAGTCTTTTCCTGTCCCGTGCCTCAGTTTCCCCATCTGTGAAAGGCTAATGACGCCACCTTTGTACAGAGACCTCTAAGGCCTCCTGTAGAAGAGCTAGATGGGGCGTCTATTATGCTTGAGCTAAAGGACCGGGTCTGTTAGCTTACAGGCAGTAGTACCGGGGTCTCAAACTCGCCACCCATGGGTCATGTCGACTATATATTCACAATCCATCCTAGGGCAGCTGGTGGCCTGAAGAGGTGTGCCTATTCCCAAGCTCTGCCTCTTTCTTCCACCATCCTGCTGTCTGCCCCTAGCCATCCCTCTCCCAAGGCACTCATCCTCCGGGATTCCTGGGGGGGCCCCATGTCGGGTGGTCGGAGGCGGGAGAGGACAGGGTGGTGGCAGGAAGGGCCGGGGTTTGGGGGACGAAGATGAGCGCTCCCCCCTCTAAGCCACAGTCTCCTGGTGCGGATTGTGAATCTGCTCTCGTCTGTAGATGGCCATGGACTTGAGACCCCTGCAGTAGTAGAATCACAGACCTGTAGAGACACACGATGTAGCCACTGCAGGGAAGGGGTGGGAGGAGGAGCACAGACTCCCACTGGTTTGCATATGGTAATTTACAGCCTCCTAGATTTTGTATTTTCAAGGAGAGGCTTCTATTTCTCTTTCCTGAGTGTAATTAAATCAAAAAATGCAAATCTTAGCCAGCGCTTGCAGGCCCCTGTGCTCAGAACGTCTTCTGTCCGCGGTCTTTTCCAGTTCTTCGATCGCCTGAAGCTGTTCGGCATGCCGGCCAAACACCAGCCCGACTTTATCTACCTACGGCACGTCCCCTTGCGAAAAGTCCATCTCTTCACCGTCATCCAGCTGACCTGCCTTGTCTTACTCTGGGTCATCAAAGCCTCTCCCGCGGCCATCGTCTTCCCCATGATGGTAAAAACGTTTTCTCTTTACCGGCGGGATGGGCGGCATCGATAGACACGGTTTTGTTCGAGAATCTGGAAGGATCTTGCAGTGTCTGGCTTGCTTCCCTGAGGGTCATCCTTACCCATATACAGAATTTGTAGGGGCATCCGAAAATTTGGGACATCACTGGGTCTTAGTGACCACCTGCCTCTTCGGCTGTGTCTAGACTGCATAGTCTTCCGGAAAAAGATACACAAATTGTGAACCGCAATTTGTGTATCTTTTTCCACTTCTTTTTTCAGAAGAGGCTTTTCCGATATATGGCCTGTCTACACTAGGCCAAATGTCAGGAAAAGCCCTTTTTCAGAGCATCCTTCTTCCTCGTAAAATGAGGTTTACAGAGATGCTGAAAAAATTCA